TTGAAACATGAGAGAGCATGAGCGTGCCTCCCCTGTACTGTCCTTCTACACAATCATGCAACGTATTTTAATCGACACAAAAGACTCTCTTGACGAGCGAGTACGAACGTCGACCGCGTCCGGTCTGATGGTGAGGCTGAGCGCCGCGCTGCGCGCGCGTTTTGGCGGCGCAGGCCGCGGGCGAGGTGGGGGGGATTCGCCCCCGCAAGCCGCATGCGAGTACGTGTCCTGTTGAGAGGGGGGCTCTGAGGAAGGAGAGGAAGCTTCGAGTGAGCGTTCGAGAGGGGTGTATTGCACAACAGCGAATAGCGCCGGCCGCCTCCCGTGCGCCTCACGAGAGGAGCAGGGAGCGGCGGCGCGTCGGCAGCAGCGGGCTCAGCACGCCCCAGATGTGCTTGAAGTTCAGGCGCCGCTCTTCCCAGGCGTGGATCTCGCCGTTGCCGCACGGATCGGCGCCGCCGACGCCCTCGAACGGCGCGTCGTGGCAGCCGCGGTTGACGACGCCGGACGCAAAATCGACGAGGCTGTGGTCGCTCGGGTCCATCCCGTTGTCCACCCAGGCCTGGAGGACGTCGAGGTACCTTTCGCCGCGCACGTCGTACGGCTGCACGTCGTTCAGCCAGTAGAAGAGGCCCGAGAACCAGCGCAGCTCCGGGTACTCGGGCTGGCAGATTGCGCCCGGGTTGGCGCAAAAGTCGACGTCGGGGAAGAGGGCGTCCTTGCCGCGCTGCGCCGCCTTCTTGCCCGCAAAGTAGTTGAGCTTGCCAAAGTTGCACACGCCGGTCGTCTGGATGGCGCCGCGGCCCCACCAGCAGCACCCCTCCACGTCGGTCCGCGCCTCGCTGCCGACGTTCAGCTCGGGCAGGGCGGAGTTCTCGCAGCCGCCCGCGCAGCTCTGCCAGGAGCCGGCGCGCTGGTTGTCCTTGTCGAGGCAGCAGGTTCCGGACAGCAGGCAGTCCTCGCCCGTGCCCTGGTCGACGGAGCCAACCACGTACGACGGGTAGTCGGGCGCGCTGGCCAGCACCTCTGGCGGCACGCTCGCGGTGGACGCCGCCGGGCCAAAGTGGATACTGCCGCGCGCCATGCTCCCGAACGGCGCCGCCCACTCTTCGGCCTGGTTCCAGCTGGTCCCTTGGGTGGGGCACCATCCAGACACGTCCCACTTTGGCGCGTCTCGCACGAGCGACCGTGGCGCGCAGAAGAGGGGCGGCGGCGCGCCGTACCACTGCGCCGACGTCTGCGCCACCACCACCATCTCGAGGTCGACGGCGCACTGGACCTCCTCGGGCGGGACTGTCTCGCCCGTCTCGGGGTCGAGCACGCCGCCGGCGGGGCAGCTGTAGCTCTGGTAGCTCTGGCCGAGCTGGCCGCACGCCGCCGAGGCGGGGTAGATCTCGCCCGGCGAGCCGCCCTTGGCGCTCACCATGTCGAGGGCGCTCTGCTCGCTCCAGTTGTTCTCGTCGCAGGCGTCGTACTGGATCGTCTCCTGCATGGTCTGCGCCAGGAAGGCGGCGAGGTTGGCGAGGCCGACGGCGTACTCGCTCGAGCCGGCGGCGCCGGAGATGAAGGTGCGCCCCGCCACGCCGCGCGTGGCCATCTTCTCGAGCGCGCCGACCATGTCGGCCCAAAAGTACTGCTCGCTGTCCTCCCAGCAGGCGCCCGCCGGCGACTCGATGTTGCAGCTCGCCTGCGCCGTCGTCTGGAGCTTGCGGAACGTGTACGCCGTCGTGGAGCGGAGGGCTTGCACGAGCGCCGAGGCGGCGCCGCCGTCGTTGCCATCGCCGGGCGACGGTGTCGGCGCCGGAGATGGGGATGGCGATGGCGATGGCGATGGCGATGGCGATGGCGACGGCGTCGGCGACGGCGACGGCGTTGGAGAAGCAGGGTCGGGAGCGGTGCCGCCGGTGAGCTTGCTGAGGTAGCCCTGGTAGTTGGCCCTGCGCACCGCCGCGCCGGAGCCCGTCCAAGTGCCGGGGTAGGGCGCGCTGCAGCCGCTCTTGATGCAGTTCATCGCCGTGTCGATGCGGTGGTCCTGAAGGTAGTAGGGCGAGACGCTCATCATCCAGTAGGCGAGCGAGCCGGCCCAGAAGGTCTGGCCGTCGGTGCAGATCGAGTCGGGGTCGGCGCAGATGTCGATCTCGAGCCCAATCTCACGGAGCAAGGTGTTTGCCTTGGCGTAGTTGCAGTTCCAGGTCAGCTGTAGCGCGCCCTTGCCGTACCAGCAGCTGTCGCCGCTGTGCGGCCGCCCGTCCCAGTCGACGCACGTCACCTGCCCCGACGTGCCGCACGCGTCGGCGGGTAGCGTGCCCGTCTTGTCGAAGCTGTCCGCGGTCGGCACCGGCACTTGATAGCACGTCCCCCAGAGGGCGTCGCGGTAGTCCTCCGCGTTGCCGCCCGAGCAGACGCCCTGGCACGGGTTGATGTACTCCTCGCAGGCCACGAAGTCTGCCGACTCCTGCGCGGCGTTGCCGAGGAAGGCGGCGAGCGTGAGGAGGTTGTTGCCGGCGTCGGCCTCCGCAAGGAAGGGGATGGCGGAGAAGCGGCCGTTCCACGCAACGACGACCTCGCAGAGGTCCTCCCACGTCGCTCGGGTCGACCCGAGGAGCAGATCCGTGTCCGGATCGAGCCCTTGCTCTTGGATGGCCGCGTGGATGCTCAGGCCGCTGCAGGCCGAGGACCCGGGGGAAGACGCGGGGGAGGGGCTGGGAGACGTGGACGGGCTAGGGGAGGGAGACGGCGACGGCGAGGGGCTGGGAGAGGGAGACGGCGACGGTGAGGGCGAGGGGCTTGGTCCCGGCCCGCCGCCCGGGCACTGCCACTTTGCCGGATCGGTTGTGCACTGAAAGCACGCGCTCGACCCGCCGGGGCAGCCCGGGCAGACTTCCGACCACGTGCCGCAAACGGCGGGACCGGTCGGCGAGGGCGAAGGCGACGGCGACGGGGACGGGGATGGGGACGGAGACGGAGACGGGCTCGGCGAGGGCGACGGAGATGGCGAGCTGTCTCCGCCGCCTCCACTCCCGCCGCCGCACCGGCAGCAATTTTCGCCGATGACGTCGTGGTCGCAGTAGCCGCACATCGTTTCAAAGGGCCACCCGGGGCAGCTCGACGCGCCAAGGGCGGCACAAGTGGTTGATGCCCAGCCTCCGGTCAGCGGCATGTCAACGCACTGCCCCCCGCCGTTGCCCGCCGGTGGCGGCGAGGGCGGCGAGGGCGGCGGCGGTGGCGAGGGCGGCGGCGGCGGAGGGTCGGTCATAGCGCCGGTCGGCGGCTTGGGCGACGGCGGCGGAGGCGAGGGCGACGGTGAGGTCGAGGGCGAGGGCGGCGGTGAGGGCGACGACGCAGAGAAGGTGCAGCTCGCGATCGAGTCGGCGCCGCCGCAGGCCGAGCATGCACACGAGCACTCGTGCTTGAGCATGCCGCCCGGGTACTCCGGAGCCTCGGCGTCGCACGTGGGCGTCGCGGTACACGAGGCGCCGCACCAGGCGTCGCACTTTGCCTGGAAGGCGCCGCACGCCTCCCGCTCCGCCGAGCAGCTCAGCTCTTCAGTCGGGCCGCAGCCGGCGGCGGGGCCTCCGCTGCACTCGGGCGTGGCCCCGCAGTAGACGGTCTCGGCGCACCAAGACTGCCCGTCGCAGGCACCGCTGCCGTGGGCATCGCAATCGGCCCCAGTGTTGCACGGCACACACTCTCCGCCCCTCCAGTCGTTCCGGCACCAGCCAATGTAGCCGCCATCGCCGCCGCCGCCGCCGCCGCCGCCGCCGCCGCCGCCGCCGCCGCCGCCGCCGCCGCCGCCACCGCTGTCAGCTGGCCCGGGGAGGTCGCAGCCGACGTCGCCGGTGTAGCTCTCCGGCTTGATCTCGACGTCTGCGCAGTTCCAGAAGGCCTCCGGGTAGGCGTCGTTCGAGTTGCCAGTCTGGTAGTACCTACCGGACGGCGCAAGGAAGGTCAAGAGACGGTTCCACCTGGGGAGGGGAGCCTCGGCGACGCACCACTGCAGCGTGCACCGCTCGCACTCGATGCCGGGCGGGACCTTGAGCACGACGGTGTACAGGCCCGTCGGTGCGCCCGGCTCGCCCACGTTGGACGAGGTCTCAATCACGTAGCGGTCCTTGTTGGCGGCGGGCGGGCTGCAGGCGCCGCCCCCGTTGCAGCACGAGCCGTGCGGCCACTTTGTGTTTGGCGTGGTGGAGGTCGGGTCGCTGTGTCCGCCAGTCGTGGCGCACTTGACGCTGCCGTGCACGCCGGCGTAGTTGGTCACCAGATCGAAGTCGACCGTGCTCTCGTCAATCTCGAGGACGTGCTCGTTGAGCATGTCCTGTGTGATGGGCGAGGCCTCGTCGGCGCCGCCGTCGGCCGGGACCGCCAACCGGAACTCGAACCAGCCCTTGTGGTAGGCGGTGATGTCGACGGTGACCTCCATCGTGCCTCCGCTCTTGAAGGTGCCACGGGCCTGCTGACGGAGGGCGGGCGTCGTCAGAAAAGGGTGGTGTGTAAAGGTGTGTGGGCGAGGGCGAGCTAAAGGTGTGTGGGCGAGGGCGAGCGGCGAGCCTTGGTCGGGCCAAAGGGCGACCCAGCCGAGAAGCTGTTGGCGAGCGTGCCACCGCAGAGGTCGTGCGAGTTGGGAGCGGCATGCGCTTCGTTCCTGCCGCCGCCGCTGAGCGAGGCTGCATTGCCCACACCGGCAGCGTAGGTCGCGCCAGCCATGCCCATCCAACTCGTCCACGACTGGCCGGCGATGGGCTCGTCGCGACGCTGGCGCGGAGCCGGACAGGTTAGGTAGCCATGTCCGTGGGCGGAACATGCGAACGAGAGGAGGAGGAGCGAGGAGAGGCGTGACATCGAGGACAGCGAGGCCGAGGAGAGGCGTGACATCGAGGACAGCGAGGACGCCGGGCCCTCACGTGCTTGCTCTTTGAACGGAGGACGTGCTCGACAGTTCCTTGCAGGGGTGCGGGCGCGGCGTTTGAACCTGTAACGGACTGGCGAACCAGCTTGCGGGGCCGTGCTTTCTTTGGCGCCGCCTAAACATGGGCTGCAAGGCGCGCGGGCAGCCCGGCCAACCCTTCGACCACAAGAACGGCCACGCACGGCTACGTCAAGGCGCATCGCGGTTTCTACCACGACGCGATCTTTGTCAAGCGCAACAACTTCAACCTGCTGCTCCACGAGACGTTCGGCGGCGGCTTCTCGCCCACCGCCGTTCTCAAGCTGCGCCTCTTCGCGCGCAAAGTCGCGCGCGGCAGCGTCGACCGCACGGCCTACTCGCCCAAGTACTCGCTCTCTTTTATGTCCCACCATGCAGAGCGCATCCCTCTCTCTGTTGTGCGAGGCGTGAACCGCGCCATTCGCTCTCACCTGGCAACCCTGTCTGCACGTCTCGCGCGCGCGTGAACAGGGCTAAAAATCTCTCTCTCCAACGCGACAAAACAATCTCTCTCACCCAACGCGGGAAGAAGAGATTCTCTCTCTCTCCAATGCGGTATGGGTGGACGCAAGACGGGCGGTGACGGTCACACAGGAGCGACACACAGAACCACAAGACAAGACACTCAGCCAACGTGGCTGCCACACATCCTGAGCGAACTTCCCTAGTTACTCGAGTAGTCACCCGCCCGCGGCCGGACTCCATCCGTCTGGGCACGGGTCTGGGATATGTCGCTGTGGCGATCACTCGACGGACCGCTGCGACACCTCTCCAACATGTCGTCCCTGGGTCGCTTTTTCTTCACACACACACACACACACACTCGCTTTTTCTTCCTGGAAATATCTTTTCTTCCTGGAAATTTCCGTGGGTCAGGCCTTGGGCGATCGGACTCGCTCCAGTTCATAGCTGCGCAACCCTAGCCGAGCTCCATTACGCCAACATGCCGTCCCTCGCTCTGCTCGCCGGCCTGTCCGGCAGCGCCGCCGCCTACCAGAACGTCCTCGGCGGTGAGCTGGAGCGCTGCTCGGGCGCCGGGATGGCGCTCACCGGCTTCACCCGCATCGGCAAATGCGTTGACCGGAACGACGACGCCGGGAGCCACCACGTGTGCATCGACATGAAGAGCAACGTCGGCGGGAATTTTTGCGAGGTGACGGGGCAGCCAAACTGGTGTGGGTCGCAGATGCCGTGCGACGGAACGCCCGCCGACGAGTGCCCCGTCGAGCACTGGTGCGTCTGCCAGTGGGCGTTCGCGTCTTACATCGAGCGGGCGGGTGGCTGCGACAAGATCCAAAAGGTGGTGTGCGAGGCGACCAACATGGTCGCACTGAAGCACTACCGCGAACAGGCGGCGCACAGCCCGCACATCAAGAGCGCGCTCCAGTGCCTCGAGGAGAAGTGCGGCCTCGAGAAGGCCGCGCCTTCGATCGGCGCAGTGGTGTAGGCGTTGCGCTCTTGTGTGTGTGCGTGCCGGGAGTGTGTCTTCTATGTGTTGTGGTCCCCTCCTCTTTTGACTGCGGTAGTAGGGGTAACGCTTTAGCGGTGGGACACGGTCTGCGGTCTCTCTCCTCACAGTGACACCAGTGTAACTCCGCCCAATACCGCAACGTCTAAAAGGACATGAGTCGTGACTGGCGATGCTGTGGCCCAATAGTCGACACAGCGACGACGCGCTGCCCAGCGAAGGCCTCAATCTTCTTGGGCAGCAGCTGCCACTGCGTGTCGCCGTGGCCCAGCCGGCCTGAGTCTCCACAGCCCCAGCTCCAGACGGCGGTGATGGCGAGGCTGTGGTACTCTCCAGCCGACACAGCGACGGCGCGCTGGCCAGCAAAGGCCTCGACCTTCTTCGGCTGCCACTGCTCCTGCCGGTCGCCGTGGCCCAGCTGGCCGTCGTCTCCATAGCCCCAGCTCCAGACAGCGCCGTCGGCGGTGATGGCGAGGCTGTGCGCCCACCCAGCCGACACAGCGACGATGCGCTGGCCAGTAAAGGCCTCGACCTGCTTGGGTAGGTGCTGGGACTGCGTGTCGCCGTGGCCCAGCTGGCCTGAGGCTCCACTGCCCCAGCTGCAGACAAGGCCGTCGGCGGTGATGGCGAGGTTGTGGCTAGTTGCGGCCGACGACACAGCAATGACGCGCTGGCCAGCAAAGGCGTCGATCTTCTTGGGCTGCCACTGGTCCTCGTCGCCGTGTCCCAGCCTGCCCTGGCAGCCGCTGCCCCAGGACCAAAGGGCGCCGTCCGCGGAGAGAGCGAGGCTGAAGTATCGTGACGCCGCCACACCAATCGCGCGCTCGCCTCCCAGCGATGGGAGACGGGTCGGCGTCTTCAGCTGCAGCACGCCCTCGCCGTGGCCGAGAAGGCCTGGAAACTCCTCCCCGTCCTCCTCTTCGTCCTCCTCGCCCTCCGCTGCCGCGCGCCCCGTTGTCTGTTTTCCTCCCATCCCTCCCTTGGCTTGTCCGTTTTCTTTCTTTGTTTTCTTCCTTTTTTGGGTCGCTTCCGCTCACGAAGTCCCCCTGTGGACCGACCCTCTCTCCGACCCTCCGATTTCATGAGAAGAGAAGAAAGGGAGAAGTGCAGAGAGAGATTTTAGAAAACCAACAAGAAAGCCCAAATCACTGGACGAGTCGTGATTTCTTGAAGTGCAGAGAGATACCAAACAAATAAGTGCTGAAGTGAATTGGACACTGCTCACTGGATGGAGCACTACCACTAGACGCGGCACAACAGTCCACAGACGGGGCACAAACGCCACGGTACCACGGGGGGCACGTAGCAGTAACGCACGTAGCAGTAGGGGTCTAGGAAACAACGGTCCGCCACATAAAATGCGAATAAAAAATCCCTTGACTCGGTTTCAGTCTCCTCAGCTCTGAGAGAGAGAGAGAGACAGCTCTGAGGAGCCCCCAAAAGAGGAGAAAATGGCTCGATGCAAAAAAGATGCAAAAAGTGAAAGTCGATCACCTCACGCACGAGGGAGCCCTTGCCGCTCCTGCATCTTCTGCGTCTCGGCCGCCCACGCCCGACACAAGACGTGCGAATGCTCGCGCTGATCGCATCGCCATCATGACGGTCGGGATAGAGCTACGGGATGCCAACGCGACACCTACAACGATTGCTGTCAGTGACGTCAACATGACGGACGCAAGCGCAAACGCTATTCTCGAGTACGACACATCCCGCATGCACTTGCGTCGCAAGCCTTCTCGGTGTGATCGGAATTCCAGTACCACCCGGCAGCAAAAGTGGTCTTGCCGCATCTCGGAAGGGTTGGGCGACGGCGGGGAGGCCATATCGAGCGGCGAGTTCGTTGTTGTTGCCGCGTTCACGCGATTTTGGTATGCAACATAACTAACTTTTCAACCGCGAAGTTGCTTCGAAAACTGAGATGTGGCTTCGAGAGAGCTCGCTGAGAGCTTTTACATGGTGTGCGACCCGTTTTCTGGCTCCTACGGGAAGGCTATTCCGACATTTCCACCCGTTTGTTGGTCACCATGACCTCAGCCAGAGCCAGGCAGGACAAGCTTGCCAGACTCAAAAAAGCACAAGCGCAGTGCTGTCTGTGCGTCTCCAAGCGAGCCGGATGATCGGTGTCGGGTTACGGGCTAGAGAGCCCTAGCCCCGGGGGTGCGCGTTCGCAGGGAAAGGGCCGTAAAGTAAACACGGGTCTCCGAGGGTTAGTTCCGTGTACCGGGTTTCCCCTTAACTGCAGAACGCCCCCTCTACTCGGAGCTACCGGACACACAACACTGTACTCCACGTACGTACACGGATACGCCTCATGTGCGCCCGCCCGACTCCGGTCCCAGAGTCCCTTCCTTCGCCTGTCGGGGCGAGCCCTCGGCTCGCTCGTCCCGGTCCCTTGCTCGCCTTCCGGGCGTTACCAGACCTGCCTCTGCAGTCGTTTCTGATGCCTCTTCCTCGGCTGTGGCCTCGACTCCGCTTCGCCTTCGGCTGGTACCGCAGCCTCCGAGAGCGTCGACGGCCCGGCCGGGGAGGGTCTCCCCGGGCGAGGACGGCGAGCGTGTGAAAGGAAATCTCTCTCTCGCGATGTCCACCCCCCAGCGCCGCTCGCGCCGCCTCGCCGCCGCCGCCGCCGCCGTCGCACACTGCCCCCTCACCGACCTGCCCCTTGAGCTTCTCGCGCGCGTCATCTCCCGCTGCGACAGCCCCGCCGACATCGCTCGCGTCGCGGCCGTCTCGCTGCTCTTCCACGCCTCGCTTGCGCTGGAGGGCATCCGCTTGCGCCTGCAAGAGGCCGGCTACGAGCCGCCGGCGCAGCCTGAGGGCGAGATCTGCGCCGTGCGGTGGCTTTGCTTGTATGCCTTGCTGCGCGAGTCCAACCCGCCGGCGAGGGCGGCGGCAGGCACTCGGCACAGCCTCTTCATCGACGGCGAGGGGCGGCTCTCGTCGTGCGGCTTGCGATGCAGGCGCCAAGGGCTGCTCGGTCACGGCGAGGGAGTGACGCGGCTCAACACGCCGACCCGCCTCCCTTCACCGCTGGGCGAGCGCGCTATGAGCGTGTCGGCTGGACCCTTCCACAGCCTCGCCCTCGCCGCCGACGGTGCCGTCTGGAGCTGGGGAGGTGGAGGCTTTGGCTGCTTGGGCCACGGCGACGAGCAGGAGCAGTTCCTGCCGAAGAAGATCGAGGCGTTGGTGGGGCAGCGGGCCATCGCTGTGTCGGCTGGAGCCCGCCACAGCCTCGCCCTCACCGCCGACGGAGCCGTCTGGAGCTGGGGCGGTGGAGGCGACGGCAGGCTGGGCCACGGCGACGAGCAGACCCAGTGGCAGCCGAGTAAGATCGAGGCCTTTGCTGACCAGCGCGTCGTCGCCGTGTCGGCTGCAGGCGGGCACAGCCTCGCCATCACCGCCGACGGCGCCCTCTGGAGCTGGGGCGAAGGAGGCCGTGGCAAGCTGGGCCACGGCGCCGCGCAGAGCCAGCTGCTGCCCAAGAAGCTCGAGGCCTTTGCTGGCCAGCGCGTCGTCGCTGTGTCGGCTGGTTACCAGCACAGCCTCGCCCTCACCGCCGACGGCGCCCTCTGGAGCTGGGGCTGGGGAGGCCACGGCCAGCTGGGCCACGGCGACACGCAGAACCAGCCGCTGCCGAAGAAGATCGAGGCCTTCGCTGGCCTGCGCGTCGTCGCCGTGTCGGCGGGACATGGCCACAGCCTCGCCCTCACCGCCGACGGAGCTGTCTTCACCTGGGGCGCGGGCAAGAGCGGCTGCCTAGGCCACGGAGAGGACCGGTCGAACCAGCTGCTGCCGAAGAAGATCGAGGCCTTGGCGGGCCAGCGCGTCGTTGCCGTGCTGGCGGGAGCCTACCACAGCATCGCCCGCACCGCCGACGGCGCCGTCTTTACCTGGGGCAAGGGCGAGGACGGCTTCCTAGGCCACGGAGAGGACTTGTCGAACCAGCTGCTGCCCAAGAAGGTCGAGGCGTGGGCGCCGGGGTAGTTAGCTAGAGAGAGGGTGGGTGCAGCAGCAGTGGCCCGGTGGCGGCGGAAGCCGCGGCGGAGCGAGGTAGGAGGCGAGACGAGGCCGCAGGATTGAGAGCACGAGGAGGAGGTATCGGGATCGCGGAATTCTGCCCCGCATACGTCATTGGTATCGGTGCGCGCGCATTGCGTTCTGACGAGAAGATAAGCGAGAACGGAAAAGGCTAGGCTCAGAAAAAAGAGTCAAAAGCGGTTTTCCGCGAGAGCTCGAGTTTTCGTCGAGATGGCTGTCTCCGAGATCGATTGCAAACGCCAGGGTACCACGGGGGGCACGTAGCAGTAACGCACGTAGCAGTAGGGGTCTAGGAAACAACGGTCCGCCACATAAAATGCGAATAAAAAACTCCCTTGACCACGTGTCTCAATTGTGGACTGGCCAGAGGCAAGGAGTCGCAGGAGCCGCCAGCGAGTCTCTCTCCGGCCTCTCTCACGTCCATGGGCAACGCGTGCAGCCTTGGCAGCGGCGCGCCCATGGACGACACAAAGCCTCTCCCCAGCACCGACCCGGCGGTCGAAGATCCGGACGACGATGGCGCCGCTGTCAGGCCGTGGTACCAGCGGCCGCTGCCGCTCACGCCTGTCACTCGGAAGTCTGCGCATGAGCTGACAGCAGCTGAGGAGGATCGGATCCTCGCGGCGTGGCTTCGCATGATGCGCAACGAGGACGGCCCGGGCACGTCCCGTTATTTTCGTCTCGCGCTGATCCACGGAGGGTCGAGCTGGCCATCCACCCACCTCGCGGCGATGCAGAACCCTGTGCCGAGTTACTGCACGCACGGAGTGGAGTGCTTCCCGAACTGGCACCGGATCTACATGCTCGAGTTTGAGCAGACCCTCCGCCGCGCCGACCTGGAAAACGGCGGCGACGGCAACATCGGCCTGCCTTATTGGGATTGGACGCGCCAACCTGAGGGCCCGTCACTCTCCCGGGCGCTTGCGGTGTGTGGAGAAAGGGTCCGTGTCACACCTCTACACGTGGATAGGCGGTCCGTTTCTCCCTTCGCTGGCGCAGCGGCTGATGGCGACGAACGAGTATGACGGCGTCCCGTCCGAAGGCGGCCTCTTCCACGTAGCCTTCCTAGATGGACAGAGAGGTGAAGACCAGTCTGACCAGCGAGCCGGTCACACAGGAGCGACACACAGACACACAGAGACAAGACGCCGTCCTGCCGCTCCGACCTGAGAGCTCTTGTGCACGGCGTCTCGTCACACCGCCAGCTGTGAACAGGCAACCTTCCTGCCGCTCGACCAGCAGGGCAACCAGCTGGCGCCGCGGGAGGAGGACGGCACCCTCTTCTACAAGACCAACCCGTGGAACAGCCGCGTCGACGCGGAGCTGCGCACGTACTGCCTGGAGTGGTTCGGCGTCGGAGAGAGCCTGCAGGCCGCCGCAGTAGTCGAAGAAAACAGCCCGTCGAAGGGAAGCAAGAAACCGACGACGCCTGCTCGCGTCTCTTCAATCTTCCAAGCCCCCCCCCCCCCCCACACCTCTCTCACTCTACTGCAGCGACCGAGGTGGGCGACCCTCTCTTCACAGCTCGCAGTGGTAGCGGCGACTCTTGACACCCTCTTGACACCCCTGCCGCTGCTGCTGCCGGCAGGCCTACCTCGAGATGAGCGACCCTCGGCGCGCCGCCCTTGCGCTCGACGCGGCACCGCACGGCTCTGTCCACGTCGCCGTCGGCAGCCTCGGGCGGCGCGAAAGGGGGACCGAGATGGTCGGGCAGGTCCGCCGCCCTTCTTGCCCCGCCAGGTCGAGACCGGCGCTGCTCACGCTTCTCACTGTGCGAGCAGGTCCCGACCGCGGGCTTCCACCCGCTCTTCTGGCTGCACCACTGCAACGTCGACCGCGCCTACGAGTCCTTCCTCCAGACCCCGGCGGGGAGGGGGGCGGAGGCGGCGTTCTACGCCAACCGCTTCCTTGATGGACGCGAGGCGGGCTTCCCCGACGGGCAATGGGGCCGGTGCGAGCCGTCTGCGGTGTCCGCATGCACTCCACGCCACCTCGCCGGGTGAACAGCGCCTCGGTCGCTCGTGTGAATAGGTACGAGCCGCTTCCACGAGGAGGTGTGTACAGCGCCTCTTCACACCTACAGCTGTGAGTAGGTACGAGCCGTTTGGCGTCAACCCGCGCACCCGCGAGCAGTACGCAGGACGCGACACCTTTGACATCGCCCTTCTCGGCTACAGCTACCCACCCGGCGGACTGTACACGCCCGCCAGCCTCCAGGTGGCGCCGCGGGCTGGCGGGGTGCAGCTGCAGCGGGCACACGCCGCGTCTCTCCACGCCTCTCCTTGTGCGAACAGGCGCCGAGGCCGCGCGGGGTGTTGTTGCCTGGCTCGCCCGGGCCGGTGGAGCTAGCAGGCCCCCCGGGCCCCGTGCCAGCGAGCGCGGTCTTCCGCGACGTGGTCAAGCTAAAGGTCGACGGCTCCAAGGCGCAGCGTTCGCGCACGCGTCTTCACGGGCTCCCACTGTGAACAGCGCCTCTTCACGCGCGGCGGTGTGCGCAGGCGCTCTTTGTGTACGCGTCGGACGCCGACGCATCGGGCGGGGGAGGGCTGCTTGGCTGGGTGGCCGGTTCGTTGGGATCGCCTCGCGAGTGGCGACCGCCAAAGAGCCTCGCCGACCAGGCCCCGGAGGCGCTGCAGGCGCGAGCCCTCGCGATGCTAGCCGAGAGAGGGGGATAGCCGGGGATGCTAGCCGCGATCCGACGCCGCTGGGCGGGACGCGGAGACGGTTCAGATAGCGCCGTGCAATAGCGCCGTGCAGCACTGAACTGCGGCGCCTAGGCGACGCCGGGCACTTCAGCGCGCACTGAAGGATTGATGCCTCAATTATTAGGCGCTGCCTGGGTTCGTCGGCGCCGCGTCGCTCTTCTGCCTGCCCGCCGCGGACGTGGTGCGCCCGGGTTTCGAATTTTCGAGCGCATCTCGCGCAACGGAAAACAACTGTGTTAGTGCTCCTATTAGGTCAAGTGCGACAACTGCCTGCGCAACGCGCCGACCACCACCGCATCCGTCGACATCACGCGCGCCCTCGCCGCCCCCATTCGGGCCCCCTACAGGGTATGACTCGACCATTCATCACAACCTAGGCGCGCCCTCGCCGCGCTTCGGATCCCGCGCGAGCGCGTCCGGCTGCACGCCGTGGCGTACGACATTGCCACGCAGACGGCGATGACCCTCGAGGCCGAGATTAGCCGAGATTCGCCGAGATTCGTCGAGATTCGTCGACCGATTTGCAGACGGCGGATGACCCTCGCGGCAAGAGGGGTCGCCAGCGGCCATTCCTCCAGCGTTGGGCCTCTCATCTTCACGCGCGCGAGCGTGTGAATAGGCGGCGGGCGTGCCGCAGCCCATTCTCTCTGACTGCAGTAGCCACGTCGCCGAGGAGGAGCCGACCCCGAGCTGAGCAGAGCCGTGCCTACGAAGCTTGCCACCATCTCCTCGAGGTCTCGATGCCTGATGACTTGGGCTTTACGAGAGTTTCCTCTCGCACCCTGCCTGGTTTCCTTTCCGTGTTTGCTGCTAGTTTCCCTACAGCACCCTCTAGTTTCCTTGGGAAACTCCGTGGAAATCATCAATTTCCCGGGCTCTGAGCCGAGTCTGAGGCTGGTTTGGGCCCCAAATCAGCCAAATCGGCAAAATACCGGGGTATTTTGCGGGTATACCTGGAAACCCCCGGATATACCTGGAAAATACCCGCCGAGTTTGCCGGTTCCCTCGGTTTTGCCTCAGATTTTGCCCCAAACCAGCTCTCAGACTCAGGGAAACTCTCGAGAGACGAGAGTTGCCAGAATGGTGAATGGAGCAGGAATGGAGCACCAAAACACCCTCTGGTTTCCCCCTGCGCCCTGGAAACTTCCGGAAACTCACAGTGCTGGGGTCTGGTTTCCCTCTGGGTTGCCGGACTCTCGTAAAGGCCAACTGATGACTTTCCACACCGCTCTCCACACGCCCCCCCTTGTCTCAGCATGTATTTTCTGATACGTGAAGCAATGAATTCTATGAAATCGGGCGACGACGCACGTGAGTTACGGACGACGGTTTTTGTCAAGGCGTCAAAAAGAGCAAAGAAAGAAAGAAAACAGACAACCCAAGGGAGGGATGTCAAAAGGAGCGAGAGTGGCGTGGCTCCTCGGAAATTTCTTTTCCTCGCGATGTCTGCCCCACCGCGGCGCCGCTCGCGCCGCCTCGCTTTCGCCTCCACCGCCGCCCCCTCGCCAGACACGCCGCCGCCCGCCCGCCTGCTCGACCTCCCCACGGACCTCCTCTTGCGCGCCCTCTCTCACTGCCACAGCCCCGCCGACATCGCTCGCGTCGCGGCCGTCTCGCTGCTCTTCCACGCCTCGCTTGCGCTGGAGGGCATCCGCTTGTGGGCGCGAGAGCGCGGCTTCGAGCTGCCGGCGCAGCCAGAGGACGAGGGCTGCGCCGTGCGCTGGCTGTGCTTTGCCGCGCTCTTGCGCGAGTCCAACCCGCCGGCGAGGGCGGCGGCAGGTGAACGGCACAGCCTCTTCATTGACGGCGAGGGGCGGCTCTCGTCGTGCGGATCAGCGGCAGCGGAGGGCGAGGAGGAGGAGGAGGAGGAGGAGGAGGAGGAATTCTTTCCAGGCCTCCTCGGTCACGGCGAGGGCGTGACGCGGCTCAACACGCCGACCCGCCTCCCTTCTCCGCTGGGCAGCGAGCGCGCCGTGAGTGTGTCGGTTGGGCATTGCCACAACCTCGCCATAACCGCCGACGGCGCTGTCTGGAGCTGGGGCGATGGATGGGATGGCGAGCTGGGCCACGGCGACCGGCAGACCCACTGGCAGCCGAAGAAGATCGAGGCCTTTGCGGGCCAGCACATCGTCACTGTGTCGGCCGGAGCCGCTCACAGCCTCGCCATCACCGCCGACGGCGCTGTCTGGAGCTGGGGCAATGGAGGGTTCGGCCGGCTGGGCCACGGCGACTGGCAGGACCAGCTGCTGCCAAAGAAGATCGAGGCTCTGGCTGGCCAGCGCGTCGTCGCAGTCTCGGGAGGCGGGTACAGCCTCGCCCTCGCCGCCAACGGCAGCCTCTGGAGCTGGGGCGGTGGAGGCTATGGCAAGCTGGGCCACGGCGACACGCAGCGCCAGCTGCTGCCGAAGAAGATCGAGGCCCTGGTTGGCCAGCGCGTCGTCGCTGTGTCGGCTGAAGGCTTCCACAGCCTCGCCATCACCGCCGACGGCTCTGTCTGGAGCTGGGGCTGTGGAGACTCAGGCCGGCTGGGCCACGGCGACCGGCAGGAGCAGTGGCAGCCGAAGAAGGTCGAGGCCTTTGCTGGCCAGCACGTCGTCGCTGTGTCGGCTGGGTGGGCGCACAGCCTCGCCATCACCGCCGACGGCGCTGTCTGGAGCTGGGGCAATGGAGGGTTCGGCCGGTTGGGCCACGGCGACATGCAGGAGCAGCTGCTGCCCAAGAAGATCGAGGCCTTTGCTGGCCAGCGTGTCGTGGCTGTCTCGGCCGGAGAGTACCACAGCCTCGCCCGCACCGCCGACGGCGCCGTCTTTACCTGGGGCGAGGGCCGCCACGGCTGCCTAGGCCACGGAGAGGACCTGTCGAACCAGCTGCTGCCCAAGAAGGTCGAGGCGTGGGCGCCGGGGCAGTGATGAGAAGGGCGGTAGGGTGCAAGTGACGGTCAGTGATGCAGGGGGCTCGGTGCATAGCAGGGGGCTCATCTCCGACTGCCCCGTGCTATGCGCCGAGCCCCGCGGCTTGCCGCGCGCCCTCCTGCCCCCCTCCGTTGCTGGTCTCGGTCGGAATCGAGGCCGTGAGGGCCTCCCCCCCGCCCGCGGCTCGCGCGCGGGCACGGTCTCCCGAGAGTCCCACGGCCGGGACGAGGCTCGAGGGACGTGTCCCCAGCTCAGTCGTGCGTGTCTTGAAAGTGTGTTCTTTGTTACTTGCGGCGAAAGTAACGACGGCCATGCTAACGACGGGCGGCACGGTGGAAGGGGCGAAGGTAGGCCCCTCTAGCATAGCGGAAGGGGAACTCGGCCTACTGGCGACGAGGAGGCTAGAGAAATTTGAGGTGTGTAGCATCTACACTGGGGAGATCTTCCGGACAGGAACGGCGCAGCCACCAGAGACAGTACCAGACGAACTATCACGACACACGGCAGCAGGAGGGACGCAGCTGGATGGAAGTGACGACGAGAGCGGGGACGACTTTGACAGCGTCGCGGCGCGGTGTAAATTCGACTGGCCTGCAGCATCGAATGAGCCGAAACGAGGCACGAGGGCGACGCACTTCGTACGCTACGAGGAGATACAATTAGGCAAGGCAGCTGCGCAGGTGATGGTCCTGTTTGCAGAGAGGGGAGTCAAGGAAGGCCAAGAAATCACATGGTCATATGGGGACTCATACAGGAGCCACCGCAAGGAGATGGGATACAGGGCGGGGACCAGGGCGGATCCGAACGCAATAACACCCCAGCAAGCGCGGACGGCATTCGCGAGATACTGCAAAAAGATAGACGTGACGAAGGAGGAGCTAGCGTGGAACTTTGGATGCATATCGGCAAGCCAAAATAACGAGCAGGAGGCTGTCCTGGTGCGTGAGCTAATCCTGAGCAACAATAAGCGACTGTACCACGGAGCACAGAGCGCAGCAGACAGGACGGCGGCGACGGCGGACATGGCAGAGACGAGTGTGAAACAAAGGGCGGCGGGCATGGAGGGCGGTAGCGACGGGGATGGAGACGGTGACGGTGGCGAGGGAGAGGAAGGGGGTCCATTAACACCAGACAGCGAGAGGGGCAGGGAGGAAAGGGGGAGAGAGGAAGCCAACGCGACGTGCGCAGAGGATGAGGATATAAACTGGGACGACGCAGCGGAGGGGATAGGCGAGGGAATCGAGGGACCGGAGGGCTTTCGCGACAGCGACGATGACGACGAAGAAAGGGGAGGGGACGGAGGGGCGACACGCAGGAGGAGCGAAATCGCTAACGGCCCGAGCAGAGAGGGCGACGGCGGGGCACGAGGGAACAACGGAGACGCTACCGGTGACGCGAACCGAGGCACGGACGCCGGCGGGGACGGGGAGGGCGACAGCGACGTCGAGGTTGACGCAACCGTATCGAGAGCGCCACCCAAAAAGGGGCGGACAGCCATGGAGGTCACCGAATGGAGGGCGAAAGGCACGATGCGAAAAGGCAGGGCGAGGCGGATGGAGAAAGAAGTGCCGAGAAGGCCATGGTGGAGGGGAGGGACGGGAGGACGAAAGAAGGGCGAGGAGGACGAGCGGCCCGCACAGACCGCGAGCAGACAGCGCCTGCTGGCCATTTCGAGACATTCGCCAAGAACGCTAGCTACATGGGAGGGCTTCGTGAAGGATGGATTGAAAAACATTCGAACAAAGAAGAGGCGACGGGAGGAACCGGCGGAGGATGCAGTGACGTGAGACACACACACACACACACACACACACACACACACACACACACACACACACACACACACACACACACACACACACACACACACACACACACACACACACCGCTCACCCACGCGCACTGGGCCTTGCACTTTGAATGCCGTGGGGCTCCTGTCGTCAGACGTGGAGACGCGAGGGTTGCCCCCCCTTGCCCCACCACCTCGTGTGTGTGGAGAAGTTTACCTTACCTTACCTTACTTGCCGCCGGCGGCACAATTTCCGAACTGTGGCGACAAAACAGTAAAACTAAAAAAGAGTAACCGTAAACCGACACAGACAGCAGAAAGAAAAGAATTTAAACACAAGAACTCTCTCTCACAGCACACAGGCTCGACACAGGTGCGAACTGGCGCGTGCTAGTACTATCACCGGCACACCACCCCGGAGCCGCCTAAGCGACTCCGTAAAGAAAAGAATTTTATAACAAAACTCTCTCGCACACGCACGATTCACACAACAGGCAAAGCGCGGACGACGGCTTCTAATAGAAGCCGTCGTCCTCACAGAAGCCGCCGTCGGATTCGCAGTCAGAAGGCGGATGGTCGAATCCGCGAGACGGAAAAGAATTCCGCGACCGACTTCACAGTAACGTAATTCACAGTTCGGCCCACACCCCCACACGCACCTCACACCGGCACGCCCTTCCCCCCTACCCTCCGTCGGGCCTCGCCGCTGACCCCTTACCCTACCCCACTCCCTTTGCTGCCACTCATAAAATCGTTGGGTCGCTTCACTCACTCATAATACATAATACATAACACACGATGTGGACTCCCAGTGCGTAATGCAAAGGCATAATACATAATTCATAGGAGTTATGTGACACTCGGTCGTAATGCGCATCCATTCGCCTATGTATTATGTATCTGTGTTATGCATTCACGCGCCGCGACGCGAGGCCGAGGGTGGGAGAGGGCGACGTATTTTGCAAATACGTAAATGTAGACGCCCAATCGTTATGAATCGGTAAGGATGCATATCACGATGCGAATGCATAGGGGGCAGAGTGCATATGCATAACAGTACTGATCACGATTGGGGTTTGGGCGGCGGCGTGCTTGGCGAGGGAGCGGTGCAGGCCCCGCGGCGCGGTGCGGCGGGGCAGACATATGTATTATGTTTCGCGAGAATACAACGCAGCTCAGATTAAAATGTAAAAATCTCATATCACGGACGTTTTGCGGTTGTTGCATGCGAGCGCGCAGACCTGTCCGCGACACTCCGTGGACCCGTCCAGGTGCTGGACGATGCGGCGAAAGGTGAGGTTGATGCGCTCGCCGAGCACCAGCGGATCGTCCGTCACGTCGCAGCGGTCGCCCGGGTAGACCGAGTGCAGCCAGAAGAGCTGAAAGAGCCCTTCCATCGTCATCAGGTCTCCGTGCCGCAGCACCGTCTCGTGCGCCGCGCCGCCGTCCCTCCGCCGCACCTGAAAGAGGCGCTCTCCGCCGCCGGGCGCACACAGCGAGAGTGACACGATCGTCGCCTCGCGCTCCATCCCGTCGAACAGGAACTCGTCGTCCGCGTGAAAGCCAACCCCACCGCCGCACGGGTAGTAGTTGAGGTTGACGCAGTTGAGGGAGTCGGCGGGCAGGCCCACAATCTCCGCCACCGTGGTGCGGATGCCTTCCAACGTCCTCACAAAGGCATCGTCCGTCGCGCGCAGCTGCCAGGTGTCGGCGTACCCATACTCGCAAGAGCATTCGGGCAAGAATGTGACCCACGCAGTGCGGCGCAGCAAAGGCTTACCTCGCGACTGAGCGTCTGTCCACGCCTCTGCCCCGCAAGCATCCGGGTGAAGCGCGGCGAACCAAGCGTCGACAGTAGCGGCGTCCAGCCCGGAGTGCCGCTCACGGCGCAGCACGTAGGCAAACGCCCGCCGTTTGTCATCGGCGACGAGCGGCTCCCACTGCAGTTCTGGCGAGCGCAGCGTGCGCACAAGCGCAGGAGGTCCTGGCCTGCTGGTGCGCGCCAGGACGCCCTCTGCGTGTGCCGCATCGCGGCTGCTCTTCCACATAACAATTCAGGAGCCCCAGCTCCTTTGGGGGGGCCGTTTGCCGTCGTGCTCCGCGAGCCTTCGTGATATCTAGCCCGTGTTTGCTGGCGTCCGGGTCCGTCGTGGCTCTCACCCCCGCGGCCGAGAAGCGCGCAGTTTTTCTTTTTCTTTTTCTGAAGAGGAAAGTCCAACGTACCTGTCCTCACGTACCTACCTACCTCACGTGCAGCAGGGAGCTCCCAACTCGATATCCTTCCTCAAGAGTAACGGAGTCGGCCGGGGAGGCTACACCCGACACGCGACAGCCGTGCTCCGGCGTTGCACGGCGGAAAGAATTCGCGTATGATCCGTCGGGTTCGCTCACACCCTGCGCTAACTTTATACACCGAAAATAGGGCTACCTCTCCCGCGTCTCTCAAGGTTAGGTTAGGTAGGTCTCTCTCTCAAGCCTGCGATATGAGCCCTCGCCCTTGCCCTCGCCCTCGCCCTTGCCCTCGGCTCATCTACTTTTGGAAGCGACGCTCCGCGATGATCAAATGACATGGCCTTATCCACGTCCACTTGCACGGTGTGCTCCTGGAGCCAAACTCCGAGGAGGCACTCGCTGCCAACATGGTGGCTACGCGGCGATGCCGGCGATCGGCTACCCGGTAAGACACGCAGTGGCAGCGAGGCGCAGTTGTCCAGGCTCTGAAATAAGTTGCACGCCGACCGGTACACGCCACAGTCGCGGCACGTGAAGTAGCTCTGCACCGTGCGAAAGTAGACGTCGGCGAGAGCGCGTGGCACAATGGCGAAGCGATCATCCAGCCATGCCCCACGTCGGTGGAGGACCGTCACGGCGGTCTGTGAGTAGTGTCGAATATCTTGTAGCGGCCGGCCAAAGGTGAGGTCGGGCCGTGACCGCACGATGTGCGAGAATCGAGCGCAGTATTTCGCCTCGTGCGCCAGCACCAGCTCGTAGCACGCTTGCACTTTCTCCCACTGCCAGTATCCGCTGCTTGCACGGCTTGAGCCCAGCGTGCAGCCATGGGTCGGCGCTGCGATGCCAATTCGATGAGGCTGCAGCTCGGTGTGTGTGGCATTTACGATCGCAAGCGCACGTGCCATCGCACTCACTGGAGCCTGAAGCTGCCTCTCACAACGCGTGGCGTCGCGTTCGTTGCCATGACAGCCTCCTATGCCGAGGACGAGAAAGACTCTGCTTGCACCATCTCCTCCGAGTGCGTCGATCTGCGAGGACCGAATGCCATCAGCGACGGTGGGATTGGTAATGAAGTCTCGAGCATCGCCGACTATGCAGTGAGCCACTCCACCTGCCGCTGGGGCGCTGCATGCGTGCATGTGGGACATGAGACTGCGCAGCGCCACGTGGTGGCACGCGTGGCTGACTGATCCACCTTCCGCTGTGCACGCTCCGGCCGCCGACGATCCGCGCGCACGCGACGCAGGCAGCCCTGGCACACGCGCGACGGGCTGCTCGGCACAGCAAAGCGCTCCGGCGTTGGCCCACGGAAAGAATTCGGACTCTGCCCGGCTGCGCCCTCAAACGATATGCTGAGATATGCGGAGATCAGATATGCGGAGATCAACAGTCGCGCGACACGTTGAGATCTCCCGCTCAGCCCACCGGATCCCACCGGTCGTTCCCTCGCGCGGCATCGGAGCCTCCACGTTAGCCACCCGCTACTTACCGCCACCACTGCCGCCACTCTCCACCGCCACCCTCGACCAGCGTCCTCCACCGCCACCCTCCACCGCCAACCGCCACCACGATGACCGTCTCCGCGCCTCGCCTGCAGGAGGACGAGGCGACTCACAGTTGGAGTGACGCCGCCGCTGCTCCCGATACACGCCATGTCCCGCCCAATCGCGAGCACGCCCAACCTCCCGTGGCAGCAGCAGCAGCGGAGGAATCGCGATACCGCGGCTCCTCCCAGCACGCCCTCGCCGGTGCCGGCGTTCGCCCTCAACACCACGCCAGACGACGACAGCCCCGTCGAGCGAGGGCTCGGGAGCATCACAGTGCGGCGGATGACGCCCGGCTCTGTGACAAAGCACCCCGGCGTGCCGAACGTGCTGCATATGCGGCTGCCGTAGCATGCCGCAGCCGAGGGGCTTGGAGCCTGCTCAGGCCACGACATCAACCGAGAGACGACGGCACCCGCACGAGAGTGCCGGGGCCGTGCCACGCACCCGCTCGCCGCTGTGGGTTTTGCGAGCCTCATGTGCCTGCGCGCGCACTTCTACGTCGATGATGCGCCAGAGAGCCTATGGGTTGGGCATGATGGCGGCGGGGATTAGCCTCGTCGTCCAGGAGTATACCGCGTGTGTCGGCTCATCTCCGACTGTACGGTCTGACAGCGTGTTGAGCGGCGCGGTTTTCGCGTACCCACGCCCGTGTCCGCCCCGTCGTATATACCTTTCATGTGACGATTTACCGACTGTACGACCACCGTGTCTGGTCGATGGCCGTGGCGGGTACCAAGACGGACAATGGAATAGAGACGCAGCGCGACAATAGAGGTGCCGGCGTGGGGCGGTGGCCGGTGCGCGCAGCAGCGCGCGCAAGTGACGCGGGTGCGCCGCCTTGCCTGCTGCGGTTCCGCCGCACCGGCTTGCGACAGAGTGCGAGTGCACGCGTGCTGCGCCCGAGCTGCGGTGCCGGCGCGGCGCTCGGTGGGTGGTCGGCGAGGCGAGCCCGCTCACTTTGCCGACGCGTTTGACTTGTCGATGGCGACCTCGCTCGCCGCGTCGAGCATGACCGTCTTGTGGAGGGCGAGCCGGCTCTTCTCCGAATTGCGCCCGTTCCACCACTCGATGAACTCGGCCTAGAGTCGCAGACACCGCCGCGTGAGAGGACGACGCCCCGCCCCAGTGCCGGGCCGCTCTCGATTGGCCCCCGTCCTCGGAGAGCTTGCCGTTCTCCGAGCGGTCCGCCTAGAAAAAAGGACGACAACAAGCGTGCGCACGAAAGAAGAAACGCGAGCGCGCCTCTGCCGTTCTCCGAGCGGTCCGCCTCTTTGAACTTTATCCGCCGGTGCTCGTCGCTGCGGAAGGGGAAGCCCAGCTTGGCGGCCGCCTCTCCGAGCTGCTTCTCGTCGAGGTACCCGGCGTTCGCCTAGGAAAAGAAACACGTTCCCAGGAAAAAGAAGCGTGTGCGGCTCGTCGAGGCCCCCCGGCGTTCGCCTTGTCGACCGACAGGAAGATGTCGTGCAGGTCGGTGAAGGTGGCCGCCTAGAAAACAGAAGACAAACTGGTCTCGCAAAAAAAGAAATGTGCCGCGGGTCGGTGGAGGTGGCCGCCTTGAGTGTGGCGCCGCGCTTGTCGGCGACGGGCCCGCCGAACTCGCCGATGTACTCTTGCGCAACCTTGATCTGCCTCGCCTTCTCCGCGCTGGACCAGCCGAGCTCCTCCGCCATCAGCGCCGCCACCCGCGGGATGGCTTGCTTCGCCGCCTAGGGTAAGGCAAGGTAGACTTCTCCACACACACGAGGTGGTGGGGCAAGGGGGGGCAACCCTCGCGTCTCCACGTCTAACGACAGGAGCCCCACGGCATTCAGAGCGCAAGGCCCAGTGCGCGCGGGTGAGCGGTGTGTGTGTGCGTGCCTCGGAGTTGAGGAAGGCCAGCCGCATCCGGGTCGTCAGCATGTCCTTCACGCTGACCGCGAGCTCGTGCCTACAGGACACTTCCTCGACCCCTCCTGGACCTCTTCTGGACCCCTCCTGGGCCTCTCCTGGACATGTAGATCGGTCGCGGACGTGTCGCGGACATGTCGCGGACATGTCTTGGAGGCGTCTTGGAGGCTCACGGGCATGTCGAGGAGGGCTCGCGGACATGGACGTGTCTTGGACGTGTCTTGGAGTTCACGGACACTTCTCTCGGACATCTCTCGGACATCTCTCTCGGACATCTCTCGGCTATGTCTCTCGCCGGCACGCGTAGAGGACCTCGGCCTCGATGTACGGGTAGCTGGGCGAGATGCGGCGGCCTAGAAGAAAAAGACAGACGGCGTCGGAGAAAAGAAAGACGACGCGCGGGCAGCTGGGCGAGTCTCGGCGGCCCATGTGGCCGCCGCCGTCGGTCGGCACGCCCGCGCGCGAGACGGTGCGCTGCAGCCGCGCGCCCGACAAGGATGGCTGCGCTAGCTCGCAGACGTGGAAAGCTGCGGTGCCTACCCTTGAGCAGTCCGCCGTATCTCCCCGCATCTCCCCGCATCTCCCCGCATCTCCCCACATCTCCCCGCATCTCCCCACATCTCCCCGCATCTCCCCGCATCTCGTGGCGTCTCGTGGGAGGCTGCGGCGCGCCGTAGGCATGGCAGAGGTGCTTGGCAACCTCTGTGGAGACGTTGTACGCCTGCACGAGCTGCACGTGCAGCAGCGAGTGGAAGCCATCGCCGCCGAGCAGCTTGATCTCCTGCGGGGAGATCACCCGAGATCACCCGAGGTTGCCCGAGATGGCCCTCGCCGCCGAGCAGGGATGTCCTTGGAGACGCAGGGCTTCGCGTGGGCGAGCGGAGCGCCCTTGAAGGCGACCACCTGTCGATTGGTCCGAGGGGAGGTCGAGGGGAGGTCGAGGGGAGGCCGAGAGGGAGCCGAGGGGGGCCGAAGGGAGCCGAGGGGAGCCGAAGGGAGCCGAGGGGAAGCCGAGAGGGAGCCGAGGGGAGCCGAGGGGAGCCGAGGGGAAACGGGTAATCTCGGGTAATCTCGGGGAATCTCGGCAACCTTGTCGATGAGCTCCTCCGCCATCGCGCGGTAGGTGGACCACTTTCCGCCGCAGATGAAGGACACGCCTGCAGAAAAAGAAAACAGAACACACCTCGAAGCCCACAAGAGAGGCGCGTGTGGCCCGCCGCAGAAAAGGGGAGGCGCCTGCGGGAAAAAGAAGAGCGGGCTCGGAGTGAGGCATACCAGAGCGGCCCGCCGCAGAGGGAGGAGACGCCCGTGTGCTCGTCGTGCCCGATGGCGTGGTGGCGGCTTACCGGCGCGTCTGTCGGAGGGAAGAGAAACAGCATAGAAAAGGACAGACAGCGCGGGCGTGGTGGCGGGAGACCGGCGCGCCCGGAGGCGCGTTCGGGTCTCGGTAGAGGGGCCTCCACCCTTGCCACGCAGAGATGACGTCGGAGCGGCGGAGGCGGATGTCGGAAGAGAGGCACGACGCCGCCTATGCCCAGACCTCCCCCTATCCCCCCATACCTCCCCACATCCCCCCATCTCTCCCCACCTCTCCCCTTCACGCCTGTGAGCAGACCCCCGCTCTTGTGGCTTCACGAAGTCTCTCCCCACATCTCCCCACATCTACCCCCATCTCCCGCTATCTCCGCCTCGTTGACGAGGTACTGAATCTCGTCCTCCGTGACGTGCGGCGAGGAGGTCGCGTCGCACTTCTTGTCGGTCGAGCCAACCACCGTGTTGCCCAGCCACGGCAGAAAGTACATCGTCGCGCCGCGCGAGTTGCGCAGCTCGCCTGAAGGCAGACACTTGTGTCGGCTGCCTCCCGGCTGCCTCTCGGCTGCCTCTCGGCTGCCTCTCGGCTGCCTCTCGGCTGCCTCTCGGCTGCCTCTCGGCTGCCTCTCGGCTGCCTCTCGGCTGCCTCTCGGCTGCCTCTCGGCTGCCTCTCGGCTGCCTCTCGGCTGCCTCTCGGCTGCCTCTCGGCTGTTCTCTCGGCTGTTCTCTCGGCTGCCTCTCGGCTGTCTCTCGGCTGTAGCTCGCAGAAGCCCATGCCGCCCGGAGTGAAGTAGCCGGGCAGGACGATGTGGCAGCCGGCGGCGGCGGCGACCGCCTTGGGGGGGAGATGTGGGGAGATGTGGGGAGGGATGGGGAGGGATGGGGAGGGATGGGGAGACATGGGGAGGGATGGGGAGGGATGG